GGTAAAGGAGTTGATATGGTGCATGAAGCACCATGGGAAGGTTTGAATGAGTAAAAGCAACTCAAGTGCAACCACGTTTGGGAAGAAATAGTTAGTGGATGGACTATGGCCCGTTTTAAATGGAATTTAGATAGCTTTTGGGCTACAAAGGTACAGATGGATAAGAGTTAGGCTTAAGTTTGCTCCTTGTGATTATCTATGTAATGGACTTAAACGGAAACTTTGGTCAGTCTTTGTACTATTACAGTATCATAGGTTGGGTATCTCTTGTATTTAATAATAAATTTTTGATTTTCGAATATCCCGCTCTGATACAATAGCATGAATTTTGGGTTAGATCCGTTTATCTCTTATGAGTTGCATGTTTGAGTTTCACGAAATCTTTTTTCTTATCCCTTAATTAATACTTGTAAATAATTATAATTTGTTAAAAAATAATAATAATAATAATAATAAAATTTTACTTTTCAAAAAATGAAAAAAAATGAAAACTGTGCCCAGTTGTCCATGTTGGATCGGGATTAAATTCAATAAAGTTATTTCCTTGTTTGTTCAATATCTTATATATATATATATGGGAGTTTACCTGTTTGGTAATCCAAAAATTTTAAATTTTGACTTTCACTCCAAATTAAAAATTTTAAATTAGTTGTTATTAGTGTTTGTTAAATATCTATATACATTCACTTCTTTATCCTTCCTTCTTTCTCATTTTCTTTCTTACTTTCTGTTAAGTTACTTTGTTGAGTACGTAATGACTTATCTTTACAAAATTTAGTACTAATTTCAATTTCTTGTTAATTTATTCTGCTCGACTAATCTTCCTTCTAGGAATATAAAATTAAATTGTCTGTTCCCCAATTTAAAAATACTTTTGCCAAGAGCCTTAAGGGTGCTTAAAATCCACAATTGGTTCAATTCTCTGGGCGTATTCATGTCTCATTTGCATGAAGGATATTAATTTTATTACGAGGAATAAAATTTTATTTATATATGAAAATAATAAGGATTATAGAATTATCCTAAATGGGACAATATGTTAAAGATATTATATTCATAAAATGCGTGAAAACACAAAATCAAATAATCTATTGCTTACATAAATAACCAATAACATGTTAATATGAATAAAAGAAATTTGATTTTTATTAAATAAGGTCTTAAATTTAAGTCTTGTAAATGAAAAAAAAGAGAACTAAAAACTTTCTCTTATGAGGTTCCATGCACTTCAACTTTGAACTAATTAGAACCTAATGTGGCTTTCAAATAATGGGGGTTAGTACTAAAAAAACTGTCTATATGAATATCATAATTACACCCAAACTCGAAATTTAACAGTTAGCTACATTATATCATAATTTATTAGACAAATGATAAATTGGTTGGGATAAAAAAATTTAGTTAAGGATTTCATCTCCAATCATGCCTTTAATAGCTGAAGCAAGTACGATAATGAGTCTTGGGCCACCTAATATTGCATTCAAGGTGCTATCTTTCTTTAACAAGATTGAATTTTGATAAATATATATATATATTGAGAAATCCATTCCAAAAATCCTAAAAAAGAGGGAGAAACCTCCATAAAAGAGGGAAATCATAAAAGATATAAATGTATGGGTTTCTGTATGGAGTAAGTAATTACATTAGCTTTTTTTTTGAAAAAAAAGGAAAAATTTTTTTAATTAAAAGATAAGTTCTAATTTTTAATTCAAAATGCACAAATAAAAAACTCACGTGGCATTTATAATTAAGAAGGTGTGATTGGAGTTTTTGGTAGAAATTTTATTTAGAAGAATTTTTTGCATGAGTCTTGTTTTTGAAAGGTTTAAAATGTTTGGTAAAATTATTAACGGAAGCACTTATAAATTTGAAAGTTGTTTTATAAATTTTTTTTCCATAAAGAATCTTTTTTTTATCAGCATTTATAAAGAATCTTTTAATCCAATGTAATACTAAAATAATTGAAAATAACATTCTTTTAAAAACAAAAATGCATCATCTCTATTTTTTATTATTCATATGTATAAAAAATATGAAAGTTTTCTTGGAATATTGAACTATATTTTTTTGCATTGCTTCCAACATTGTTTTAAGAATTAAGGTTATGTTGGATTGGACGGAAGACGGAATAGCTCACTGTGTACAAATAAGTAAAATAAAGGAGTATTTCACTATTGGAATTACTATTTCTTGGAATATATATAGTAGGTTTAAGGTTGGACGTTTCTTTTAATTATAGAATTAGGAAGGAATAATCAAAATCTAGCAAGAAAGGGGTAATAGCTATCATGTGTGTTCTCTAATGACATTTCAATAATTAAAATTAAGAATTTGAGTTTCAACGTAAAAAATTTTAAATTCAAATCTTAAAATAAAGTGAGAAAAGATTTCAAAAAGAAAAAAATTATCTTATTATATTTCATACAATGTAAATAATAATAACAACAATAACAACTCATATGTATCAGCTTTCCTTTGCTTTGCTTGTCATTTGTCAAGCACTCTCCTTTATTTTATCTTATTTTCATGCCTTGACGAAGGAATAGTAATT